TTGAAACGAACTTGTCAAAACTATACGCTTTTGCTTTATCATAATTATTAGAAAAAAGAAAATACACAGATTGATAAGACTATATGGTTAATGATACTGACTTATACTAGTACTTCAAGGCCGTCCAAAGCAATTTTATACATTCTATAGATATAACATCTATTTATTTTTTCGGGCATTTGAAAGGGATGTAATTAAATCAGCTAACACACGTCTGTCCTTTGATAACCCTACTTGATTTTATGAATATAAATGTTTCCCTTTTGTTTGGACCAATGAGAGCCCATTATCCACCCGTGAGCCGAAATAAAGAAAGTCGACTGTACGAGTGATGCGTGAGCAGGTCACGTATGGCAGGTAGAAACTCACATGCTGCTATTGCTCCTTCAATCAAAAGATGAAAACAAGAAATATCACGTGCAATTAATCTTCCGTCACCTCACCTTAGATAATTTTCCCCTTTTTATGAAAGGGAAATCCATCTCGATTTCTTTTCTTTTTAAAAAGAGAGTAAAGTCCAATATACTCCCTATTGTCATTGATTTTTTTTAAAAAAAAACTCAAACTTCAATACTAGACAACATATACATCTTCATTTTCAAAATCAGATAAAATACCCTCCTCTTAACCATTTTAAATTGGTTTTTTTAGTGTTTTTGGTGATGTGGGGGTGAGCCCCGTATGTCAGCTGGTCTTTCTTTCTTTGATACAAAAAGTCATAAGTATTTCATATGAAGTCAAATTAATACACACATTATATTAAAATTTTACAGATTCATATGATCTACAACTTTATATTTAACAACTTTTTATTTGATATCTTCTCGAGGCTCAAATATTTGTTTTAAGTTATCAGAGTTTGAAGTTCAATTTTTCCAATGTTTGAACGACTGACGACTGATTATGTTGACATGGTCTATACTACAGTTTTAGCTCTAAATGTGTTCTATAACTTTGTACTTGAAAAGATTTTACTTGAAATTATTTAGATGTCCCCAATTTCTCATATTTTAAAATTTCTTTTTTTCTTGAATTTTTCGAATGACCTTGGATATTGACATGGTCTACATCAAAGCGGAAATTAGGGATGAAAGCGGTATGGATATTTTTCGACCGTATTCGAGACCAAATCTATTTAGAGGGGTTCAGATCTGTCCGTATTCGAGTCCGGATATTCAACATCCGATACCATATCCGTATCCGAATACTCAAATATCATATTTATGATGTCGATATACAATCGTATCCTATACGACATGATTGATACTATCCGTATTCGAATCCAAATCCGAACAGAAATATGAAAACAAATATAATATCAGTGATATCCATTTGTATCCGATCTTTTCATCCCTAGTGGAAATGTTCTTCTCAGGGCGTCCAACGCTCTGGACACGCTCTTCCTCGGCTATGGAGCGCCGGAGCCAAATACGGAGCCGGCTCCCGGCTTCTCCATAAAAAAAATTAAATGCAGATTCTCCAATCCTCCTTGCTCGTCGCGGCCTTTTTCACCGTGCACGTGCGTCTTCTGCGGTCGACTCCACCACGCCGCCCGCTGGCTACTCACGTTCCTAGCGCGGGGACGCTCGCCGCGGGCAACGCCGTCGCTCGGCGCTGTCCCTCCACCACGGGGGATCGCACCCGCCCGCCCTGTCATCGGGAGCCAGCAGCAGCTCGTCGGTGGCCGCACAACCGTTCGCTGGGGTCGAGCAGCCGCCCGCCCGCTGGCATCCCCCGCACCACTCCACGGCATCGAGCTCCGCACATGCGTCGAGTTATGCGTCGACGAGCCTCCATTCATCCAAACAGCAAGTAGATGCTACGTTGAAAACAAATGTTGCAAGAGTATATTTTATTAGGTGTTTCAAAGGTATGTTTCGATGTTGCAAAAGTAGATCGGGATGTTGCACATGTTGCAATGATTATACACGCATATTTCAAGTGTATTTTCTAAATATTTTATATGTTCCAGATCTATGTTGCAAGTGTTTTATCTGGATGTTGCAAAAGTAAATCTGGATGTTGCATATATATGCATGTTGAAAGCATATGTTTCAAGTGTTTCATACCTATATTGCAAGTGTTTCATGTAGATGCTGCATATGTTTCCAATGGTTTTCAAGTGTTTTGCAGCTGTTTTTTTTTCAAGTGTTTCATCTGTCTTCTTTTGTATGTTGCAACTGTTGCATCTGGATGTTTCAAAAGTAGATCATGTGTTGCACATGGGATGCGCGTGGGAAGTAGCCGGTGACGGGCGGCGTGGGCGACGTCCGAAACGGCGCGGGCTCGCTGCTGGGGCGCTCGCTCGCAAGCCCGACGCGCTGGGACGTTCGCTCGCTCGTTGTGCGGGCACCGCGTCCAAGCGTTATTAGGTCCGATACCAAAATTATAGATCTCAAAGTAATTTATAACTTTTGAGTTGAAAATTTTTATATTTGAGATCTTTTAAAGCCAAATATTCATTTTAAGTTCTTTGGCTATGAAATTCAATTTTTGATTTTTTTTCAAACAATCTTGCAGACACGCTCTGCGCTTTGTTGTTCTTAAAAATATCTAAAACTTTCTAGTTAATTTTTTATTTGAGATTATTGAAGAATCTAAATATTCAATAAAATATGGTATGATTAAGAAATATATCTGGGACCTACATGCCACATCAGCTAAGACCACCGGTCAAAACCACTCTAACAAGAACCTCTTCACGATGCCGGCTCTTGCTCCAAGCTGACAGGCTACTACACTGTTTTCTATCATTATAGTTGCATCATTCGTGAAGCTATTTTTCTCTCCCTCAAAACAACAAGGGGGCAAAGGAGAGACGGAGGGGTAAAAAAATTGGAAAGGAAAGATCTTTGGGGGCCGACGTGTTCAAACTGTTGTTTGTGTCCAAAGGAAGAAGAAGAAGGGCACGCCAGGCCACAGTGCCAAATCCAAGTTTTCCAAGTACAACTGCGCGGCAGCGAGTTAATGGTGATGGGCCGCGGTCGTGACGCCGGAGGGCCCACCGCATTGATTCGGCCCTTTCAGAGATTGGGAGGAGGATGACCCGATCCTAACATCATCATCACGACTGAAATGAATGAATGCCTCGCCATCATCACCATGCATCGGCGCCTGCCACGCCATTCCCATTCCCATTTCCATTTCCTGGCTGGCGCCATGTAGTATAGTGTTTTTTTTAAAAAAGAGATGGATAGATGAATTTAAGGTCTTATTTAGTTTCTCCTCTAAAGTTTACTCTCTATCACATTGGATGTTTAGACACACATGGAGTATTAAATATAGACTAAAAAATAATTAATTGCACAGATTGTGACTAATTTACGAGACGAATTTTTTAAGCCTAATTGGTCCATGATTTGACAATGTGGTGCTACAATAAACATATGTAATAACGGATTAATTATGTTTAATAAATTCATCTAGTGGATTAATGAGGACTTCTGTAATTTATTTTATTATTACTATCCGAACACTCCCATGTCACACCCCAACGTAACACCCCATGTGACATTTCTAAACTTTATTCTTTGGATTTAAACACCACCTAAGTCAATATATGTATGTTTATGATTAGAGGAAGTGAGTTCAATCAATATGAAATTTAGCAAATGTCCTCGTCATACATGAAAAGGCATGGTTTTTTTTTTTTCAGGAAAAGGCAGCATTATATTTTATAAACTTTAGTCAAATTTAAATTTAAAATTATTTTTTAGAGGGTCTAAGCCCCCTTGCCCCCCTGTCTCGGCCACTGCCGACACAAGATATCACACGTGTTAATGTACACTGTGCTGCAGGAGATCTCTCGTCGAACCACACGTGCAGAAGCATGTGGCGAATGGGCAAGGAACAATATCAAAATGATTTTGGCCTGTATCCATGGACGATGTTTTTTTCAAAAAGCATGACGAAAATAGCTGATCTTTACTGCACCGGATTCATGATTCATATGACTAAATTTAATAGTGTTACGTGAATTACATAATCAAAATATATATTTACAAATTCTATAGAGGAGTTAACCGTATTTAGCAGAAGCTGTGGGCCCGGTGGCCTTACAGCTTGGGTTTAAACTCTAGATCCGTCAACTGTCGGCATTGGTGTAACAAAAGAAGTAAAAAGGCTGTACTTAAGTTTTACTCCCAACTGTGGAGTGAGAGTGATTTTCGTCCTAAACCACAAAATTGTGTATTGTCCTTTTTTCAACTTTTTAGGGATGAACCATTGTCTAAAACTGTGGTTTATAATGCCAACGAGTTTGAAGCATGTGGTTCTAGTGTTTTAGTTGCACTCACATTCGGATATACCAGCTAGTGGAAAAGCTTGCGTTGGCTTATATTCTCTTTAGCATGGCTTAGGCTTCTCGAAAAACGGTGATAGCCAGAAAAAAACACGTTTTTATGGATTTGATTTTTTTAAATGGTTATAATGCCAACGAGTTTGAAGCATGCGGTTCTAGTGTTTTAGTTGCACTCACATTCGGACATACCAGCTAGTGGAAAAGCTTGCGCTGGTTGGCTTAGATTCTCTTTAGCATGGCTTAGGCTCCTCGAAAAACAGTGATAGCCAGAAAAAAACACGTTTTTATGGATTTGATTTTTTTTTAAAATGGTTAGATCAGCTGGTTGGGTTTCTTGTGGTGGAACTTATCCAACATAGGTTAAGTCCTGGTATAAATCAAAAAAATACGAGCGCTCGTACTAGGTCGAGAACTTTGAACCCAAACATGCAGATTCCACCACAAGGCACCTGATCCAATTGAGCTAGACTCAATTTGCGTTTGGCAGAGGTTTTGATTAAGCCGAGAAGCCAAACAAAAGGCCTTGACGATTGGCTTAAGCGTCTTTTTAGACAAAGTTGGGCCCAGACGCTGCAGAAATTAGTTGGAACCTTCGGCCCATTTTTGGACAACGTCAGCCCAACAATAGGCCTATCTACCCACACGCTATCCTCTCCCTCAGCGCTCACGTCTCCCACATGTCCACCCCGCCGCCAGCCCAATGGCAGCTGCAACGGCGCCACCGCCGGCGGCGGCTGCCACCACCCTCTCGGCCCTCATACGCCGCCAGAAGATCCGTAGCGGCGGCCCTAGAGATTTCTACGCGAGATGCGTCGCCTCCAACGCGAGCGCGGAGCCGGCGGGGCCGGCGGAGAGCCGGAAGGGAGGCCACGGCGGGACGCGCCTGGAGGAGGCCGTGCCCGTCGGCGAGGGGCGTTCGCGTATAGACGCCTGGATTTCGTCGCGTCTCGGCGGCGGGGGTGTCAGCCGCGCGCGCGTGCAGGCCAGCATCCGCGCGGGGCTTGTCGCCGTCAATGGCCGCCCGATCTCCAAGGTGCCGCTGTTATGCTAACCTCTACCTCTAAGCTCTGTTTACTTCCTGCAAAGTTTGATACTTGTGTTAGCAGAACCGTGAAATAGTAGTACTACTTATACAATATCGTAGTTAATTTGTAGCTTAAACTGCAACTCTGATTTTGGAGAGAATGCCGAATAATTCAGAAGGCAAATGAGGTCATGCAGCGCCAATTGTATTAAGTATTAACGTCTAGTACTATTTAGTAGCACTAGTACATAATGGATAATTCATGTTGGTAGTTGTAGTTTCTTGGCTTGGTTATACTTGCTCTTGTGTCTAAATCGAGTCTTAGGCTGCTCTGCTCTGCTTCACTTTGTGCATTATAGGTTTCACGTACTGTGAAGGGAGGGGACCTGGTCAGCTGCACGGTGTCGGAGCTTCAGCCGCTGAGGGCAGAGGCGGAGGACATCCCGCTAGACATTGTTTATGAGGATGACCATGTTCTTGTTGTCAACAAGCCGGCGCATATGGTTGTTCACCCAGCACCAGGAAATGCCAATGGCACATTAGTCAATGCTATACTTCATCACTGCAAGATCTCCACATTTACTTGCTTAGCACGCAGTTCAACTAGTGATGAATGCCCGGATTCTTCAGATGACGACATTGATGTATTTAATGTGGATCAATTTGCTACTGAAGATGTAAGTTCAGAAGTCCAGAATGCTCTTGTGCGTCCTGGTATTGTGCACAGGCTGGATAAGGGGACAAGTGGACTTCTTGTTGTTGCTAAGGTATTTAATTATGAGTTGTGACAAAACTGGCACTTCCAAATGTTTTATGAAATTTGCACATGCTTGTAGCAGTACATAACTACAGACTTATGCTGAACTCTCCACCTTTTCTTTTTCTTCCTTTTTTGGGACAGGATGAGCATTCTCATGCTCAATTAGCAGAAGAGTTCAAGCTGCATACAATTCGTAGAGTATACATCAGTCTTACTTGTGGCGTGCCAAATCCAAATTCAGGCAGGATTGAGGCATCTATTGCACGTGATCCTAACAATAGGATTCGTATGATTGCTACTGCTGGATCAGGCCACAGATATGCACGGCATGCTGCTAGTAGGTGATCCATGCTTGCCACTTGTGCCATTTCTTTTGGTTCGTTATATGACGTTGCCTCCTCAATGCTATTTCACTTGAATTAAAAATATATCCTAGGTATAGTATAACGATCTTAATTATGTAGTTTAAAGCTATTTACCTTGTTCAGATATGCTTAATTACTGCAACAATTCTGTTTCAACACCTTAATTGCTACCACCCATGTAAGCAGGTAAGAATGAGGACCTAGAAGGGCCCATGTAACAGTCAAAGGTTGTAATGATGTCCAATTAGTTAATCTAGTCATGAAAATTCTAGTGGGTTACCACGGCCATGCGAAAAGTAACAAAAAAAATCATGTACAAAAGGCTGGCTGGATTCTAAAAGGGAACTCTCATGAAACTAAGTATTTTCCAAACCTCAACCTGATTTAAAAGTTTCATGGTTTCATATGTACTTTGGCTCATTTAGGGAACTTATTTAAAAAATTCATACAGGTACAAAGTAAGAGAGGTCTTTGCTGGTGGTGGATCTGCACTAGTGGAGTGGAGATTAGAGACAGGACGCACTCATCAGGTAATCATCCCATGATAGTTTATTTTTTTAGAAGAGAACCATCACCGCCTAAAGTTCTCCTAAAAGAAGGAAAAAGCTTTTGTGATCCTAGGCTCTTTACTAACGTGTATGTTATTTGGATAACATCTGTTGTTTATTCAAGAGTAACACTAAGAAGCATTGTGATAGTTAAATTTTGATCTCAACACATTTCTGTTATGAAGCTCGGGAAACTCTCTTAAATATGACTACTTCTGTACTGATCTTGAACTTAGTGCTTATCAGATCCGGGCGCATGCAAAGTATATAGGGATCCCTCTTCTTGGTGATGAAACTTATGGAGGTACCAAAAGCATGGCATTATCACTTTTGAGACCAAGGACTCCTTCGAAATATCACAGCGATCTTTCAAATCTGATGTCTAAAGTAGACAGGCCATGTCTTCATGCTGCATTGCTTGGGTAGGTATTACACAGCATGTATCTTGTGTTTTTCCAAGTTCGGAATGTGATTATCATTTTCTCCCCCCCAGATTCAAGCATCCACATTCAGGAAAGATCCTTGAATTCTCATGCCCCCCACCAGATGATTTTTTGGAGGTGCTTGATGAATTACGGAAAGTTACATCAAGTGATGCCCAAAATGGTGATGGTGTTGTCTGATAATAATGTGGTGCCAACACAAAGTGAGACATGCAGTGATTTTTTAGCACACAGCAACGTCTGGTTTGAGGTCTATTTTATCAGAGCTGAGTACAGTAAGGTTGTCATTGATGGATTTTTTGGGGTTAACTGAAGAAGCCGCCCATGGACTTTCAACATTTCCAGTGAGAGATGAAACCAAGACTGGGGATGTTGAACAAAACATGAACTCTTGGAGATTTCTTTCAAGACCTAGAAACCGGGTTTAGCTCTGTACGTGTTTCATTTATTTAGGTTTCTATTTATTTGGTCACGATGGTAGCAAAGGACCAGGGATGTAGTTTTTAAAGCACTTAGGTGTGATGTTGGGTAATCTCAATTATGAAGTTTTGCAGTGTTGTGACTTACTGTGATTAGTTTCCATGATGTAAAATGTACAGGGCAAATAGTTTGCACGATCTACTGAGTGGGTTGAAATCTCGTACTCCCAACATGGTGCTTCATGGATTACAGTCATTGTTGCCTTATTGATACCAGACTAATGTTTGTCAGCAGCTCCTTTGTGATGTGCGTAGCTTTTTATTGTCTCATTGCTTTGCTACCTCATTATTGTCACTAATCAGGTTTCAATGGTGCATGGAAATGCTCTCTGATGCAAACGTACTGCAGTTCTGAAGTAGAAACGTACTTCGTCTGGATTCCACATCGCAAGTGCCTTCATTTTCTCGTGCTTAAACATAGGAAATGATATCCTTGCGGTTGCCATATATATGATCAAATCAGGACGATGACTTCTGACAAGAATTTAGCCTGCCATTCCAATCATTGTTTTAGATTAGTAATACGGTGTTAAAACTAACAGCGAGCACTGAAAGATTCTAAGCACATCTTGCAAGTTGCAACAGACGGATTCTTGTGATTCAGTTGCCACACATCTCTTCGCAGGCATGCAGGAAGTGAACAAAGGAGACCGCTACCATAACTTATGAACAGACAACAAAGCGAAGCAGAAGTGCGTTCGCGAAACAAAGAGAAGTAGAACTGCTGGGCAATATTGCAAGAATGACAGCAAGTTCTTACGCCTCCTCTAGTGTTTGACTGACAACCATCCGGTCTTTTTACACAAGCAAGATGCCTCAAACATATAGATAATGTGGCCTTCCTGTGTGAAAACCAAAGCTATAGAGATACGCTAGCTATGCCTAGCAATGAATCTGACAAAGTTCAGGACAGTCACTTGTGCTTCTTAGATTTCTTTGGTGGGTTGCTGACAAGAGCGTCAACCTCTCCATCAGATTCGTCCTCTACAGACTCATCGGGGACGTCGTTCGGAGCATTATGCTTGGCGATGATGTACTCCTTGAGGATCACCATGCTCTTCTCCTTCATCGCAGCCAGCTAGTCTGACAGGAGTCCAGACTCGGGACCCACGGCAAACGATTCTGCTCCAAGAACCAGAGTAGCTTTCACTCTCGGACCGAGACTTGCAGCTGCAGAACCTGCTTCGCCCAACATTGCTGGTGTGGTGGCCTGCAGGCTGAAAACTGAACGCGAGGACTATGATAAGTATGACAGGTCAAATCCAATGGATGATCAGTAACAGGAGCGGCCGTCTCAAGTATATGAACAAAGCATAAAACTGTGCAGTTGCAAATAAAGTTGGATGCCTTATAACAAGTAACGTACACTAGAGGAGGTGAAATCAAGTCTTTTGACATATCCAAGTCCTAGGTGCTGCTGTGCTATGCATAGTTGAAACAGAAGAGGAACGCATAGTAGTAACTGAACATTGCTGATGCAAAGGAAACTATACTGAGTCTATAGGGTCTAAACGCGGCATGTTTTTGCAGTCACAGCTCAATCTCCTGCACTATCAGATCACATTGGAAGTCTGGAACTGATGCTCCCGTCCCCTAGAATACAATAGAACAGAATACAGCACAATTGATGAGCAAACATGCAGCAGTAATATTGTAATAATACAACAGCTGCACTCGATTATTACATATACATACATTCCATAATGCCATATCTTTTCCTGAACACAAGAAGTAAAGTGACATCCAAGATATCACTTCCTCCGTTTTTAAACAAATATTAGTAAAGCTAATCACTTAAATACAAAGTAGGAGTAATTAACTTGTCCTAAATGTGCTATAACTTTAAAAAAAAAGAAACAGGAGGGAGTGGGATAAGAAGTTGACCACGCATGCATAATATGATAATATCATATAGCATAATAATAGCATATGATGGATGGATCAATCGATCTCAAGTGCGACTGCGGAGTGAGGGAGGCTCTCGTTGCCGTCGGCGGAAAGTATTGCAGAGAAGGTCGGAGGCCTTGGAGGGTCAGGCAGAGGGTCGACTTCCACAGTGCCTTCGAGCATCTGCACCACCTTGCGCATCCTCGGCCTAGCCGACGGTTCCTTCTGCAAGCACCATATGGATGGCAACGCGCGTGAACCTCTCCACGGTCTCTCATGCCTCCGTTCACTTCGCTGAAAAAACAAGACGAAATACTGTTCCGGCTGATTTGGTGGGAGAAAAAACAAATACTGTTCCGGCTAAAAAAACAAGCTGAAAAAAACAGATTATAAAATAAGCGAACAGGCCCAATGGTAAGCTCTCCCCCTCCACCAACAAGGCCTCCCACTCCTTAGTAAGCTCTCCGCCAAGGCTCTCATGGTGCTCTCATCCTGGTCGTTAGGCTGGAGCCGCTGCTGCAGCTCTGCTGCCCTCCTGCAGCATATCATCTCCAGCAGCATGACTCCAAAGCTGTACACATCCACCTTGCCCCAACCATCAAACCATTCGGGTGCGACATAAGGTTTCATACCAGCAATCCCCCTGCTGGTGATAGTGTGGTGTGTCTTTCTGTCTCTAAGGAGCCTGGAAATCCCAAAATCTGTAATCTTCGGTGTATGTATACCATCGAACAGTATGTTCTCAGGCTTGATGTCGCAGTGGATTATCTGAGATTTGCACCCTTCGTGTAGGTACTCCAGCCCCCTGGCGATGCCTATTGCGGCCTCAGCGATGCAGCTCCAGCGCGATCTCTCTGATGATGACGACGGGAATATAAATTCGGCAAGGGTGCCTCCTAGCCACTGAATTCTTGATCGTTGACACCACATAACTTCCTCCCTGTGATGCAGTTCATTTATCCTTTCTACAATCTTCAATTCGGCCTGGGATGGCCCCAACCGGTGAGGGTCGATCGCATCCTCTCCAGGTCCTCCTTCAGACGCTTTAACTCCCGTCTCACATGGCCACAGGTTTGGCGCTCCCATCTTCCCAGATGATTGGCGACACCCTTCAGCTTGAGTTGCAAATCCTTTGCTGTCACTGCTTCACGCTCTTGCTGCCATGACTCAGCAAGAGAGGCAGGGAAAGACTCATGCTCTTCCCACATCACCTCATACCTGAACTGGCGGCGCTTCTTTCTGCATGTTATCCACCCTGCGCCAGGTCAGTAAAATTGGTCCATGATCAGATGCCGCTGCTACCAGATGCTGCACCGTAGCCATAGGGAAGCGCGCCAGCCAATCACCCAATACAAGCGCCTGGTCTAGCCGAGTGCGACAGTAGGATCCCCCACTAACCTTTTTTCAAAAGTCCAGCTTCGACCGCTGAAGCCAATGTCAGTAAGGCCACACACATCAACCATCTCCCAGAACGCTCCTATCTGTGCAGCGCTTCGCTCTTGGACACCATCATGTTCCGATCGATGTAGAACTTCATTGAAATCTCCAATACAAAGTCACGGTAATGGAGATGATGATCTGTTAAACTTGAGCATATCCCAAGTTTTATGTCGCTCACTAACTTGAGCCTCCCCGTAAATACAAGTCTCCAAGGGTCCCCCCTGTAACAATGGCATCGATGTGATATTGTGAATACGGTAACAAAGACACAATGATATTATTGTTCCAAAAAATTCCCAAACCACCACTACGGCCATTACTGCTAACTGCAAAAGCATTATCATAGCCTAGTGTTTTCTTCAACCCGTCCATCCGTGATCTATGGACCTGTGTTTCCAGGACGCACAACACCGTGGGGGCGGCATCCTTCGCGAACTCGCGAAGCTTTTTAACTGTCGCGGCATTGCCAAGTCCCGCGACAGTTCCAGCTTAAGCAACTCATTGCGAGCGGCGGGACTCCTCGAGGGAGCTCGCCATATCATCAGATGTTGTCTTCTCCTTTAGCAGATCTTTCAGGTCACCATCTTCCCCGCCCAAATCCCTGGGCGGCGCCATCGCCATCACAAGCCAACACAACAAAAACACGATCCGGCTGCCTCTGATCCTGCCAAGGCCGGGTAGCCGAGCAAAGTCGGCCCCTTAATCAGCCTGAGCAGGACAGGGGACGAGGAAGGGGTAGTGTTGTGGCCGAAGAACCTCACGACAGTGAAAAACGCCGGCGGAGTCGAACCCTAGGGCGGGCGTGCGGTTGTCGCCGCCGCCGCTCCTAGTCAGCAACTCCTGAACCAATAACTTCAAATCATTTTACAGCCCAGTAGCAGCAAACACGGCTTGCAGGGTCTAGCACGCAGGCCACAAAAACTACGTTTCAAGCTAGATGGGCCTACTGAACAAGTCAAAAACAGACTCCCCCAACCCCCTAGCCCCATCTGCTGTGATTGTTCTTCAAGGTATCAGAGGATTACTAGTTCATGAGTTTTAAACGAGAGAAAAGAAGACCATATACTGATTCAAAAAAAAAAGGATCAGTTGCTTGGTCACCACTCAGCCAGCTCATCCAGACATCGTTTGGATCATCGGCACACCCCTGCCCATACAGACTAGAGACTAGTCAGATCCATAGATAGGCCCATATATTCCATAGCTATGCATATAGCTGAATTCAGACTTCGGAGTTCAGAAGAGCACATGGACAGAGAGAGTTTAGGACAAGAAAATATGAACAGATGACAGAGAGACAGAACTGCTGGGCAAAATTGCATGATATAATGGTATGAACAGCAACCTGCATATTGTAATTGTGGCTCATTATAATCTGGTCTTACACAAGCAAGACGTGCGTGCCAAAGAACAATCTGGTCTTCCTGTGTCAAAAGCATAACTGGAGATACATACGCTAGCTGTGCCTAACAACGAATCTGACCAAGTTCAGGACGGTCACTTCTGCTTCTTAGATTTCTTCGGCGGGTTGTTGACAAGCGCCTCACCCTCGCCGTCAGACTCACCCTCAACCGACTCATCAGGGACATCGTTTGGAGCATTGTGCTTGGCGATGTATTCCTTGAGGATCGCCATGCTCTTCTCCTTCATTGCGGCCAGCTGCTCTGACAGGATACCGGACTCGGGGCTGATAGCAAACGATTCAGATCCAAGAACCAGGTTTGCTTTTACTCTTGAACCAAGACTCGCCGTCGCAGCACCTGGCTGGCCGTCCATCGCTGTGTTGTGTTCTGCAGGCAAAAAGATTGGGAAGGAAAGGAAGGCAAAAACAGTGTTAACTGGAGGTTAAAGTGAATGAAATGAATCGTCATTTGCAACAGGAGCGATGTATCAAGGACAAGCAGGAACAAAGCGTAAACACACACGAAAGGCAGATGTCTTATATTAACATGAAATCTAGACAAGGAGGCGCAATGAAGTCATCGATGTGAAATTGTAGCTCTCACAGGCTTTAGCAAGTTGCTATGCATAGCTAAAACTTGACAAGGGTAGGCAGGTCCACAATTTTGAGGCTGGATATTTGAATTGCGAAGGGCCATCTTTTATTTTTACAACCTTAATATCTGGCTTTTTTATTTTTGGAAACGGTCGGCACGAGATGTGCCGAACTTGTATTGATGATATCAATATAGTTGTATTGTATAATATACAGCAGATATAACACATACTAATGCATTCTTCCATAGATGCTTAGAACTGAGTATAACTTGAAAATTGTTTATAACATATAAAAAGCACCAATTGTTCAGCGTATTAAAGTTCCAACATGCGAAATATGTAGACCATATGATAAACAGACTAAGTAATGATCAGTGCTGGTGGTTCTATTTCACTACTTGCAATCAGTAATATATTAAATGGAAAATTGGTAAGACCACTGAACAAATTTTAACTTACATATTGAATTTCACAGTTCAGTAGCCCCTCGGTCTGTCGGTCAGTGGCCCTGCACGCTGCAGTGGCAGCTCGCGCGACGGGCCACGGCGGGCGCGGTGCGGCCACTGCCTCGCGCCGACGGCCGACGCGCCGCCCGCCGGAATCCGCTGTCCGCCGACAGCCGCCGCTTCCGCCTGCTGCTAGGGTTTGTGGAAAAAACGAGAGGAGCGCTGCGGCCAATGTCCCGATGCTCGGGTGTGAATCGTGCGACTGTTCCTGATGGAGTGATGGCTGGTTGAAGTTAAGTTGGGCCAGGCCTTGTTGGGCCGTCCATTAGAGAGGTAAAGGATATATGTTTTTTCGGCTGGATTCATTACAAAAGTATTTATTTTGGGCTTCAGTTATTGGGCTTCCACGTAGAGCTTCATGGCAATTACCGAGCGGAAGAAAACTGAGGTCACGATACATGGTCATTTTACTTATGTAATTTTGTGGTGACTTTAATAGATCTGCTATATGGTTATTGGTTAATTGCCATATGTGTTTTGCTCATGGTCATGGTCGTTTGATGGTGTCTCTGTTAGGATTGATCTCATCCGACTCATGTCCACACATGCTCGGCGGGCCCCTATCACACGGCGCCGTGAATCGATGGGGGCTGGGGCGCTAGAGAGAGGTTTACCGGTTTACCATAACTGTCAAGTAACCCTAGAAGGCCCCTCCGATCGTGGGAAGCGCTGCAGTGACGGAAGCGCCACAACCAAGGTCAGCCCGGACCCTGACTACACCGCCATACACTCACGAATCAGTCAAGAGCGATTTCTTTCCCTCCACCTCCTCTGCCAAGCCCGAAGGTATGGGTCTCTACTCTGTCTCCCTCTCTCGAGTCTATCTCTCTCCCGAGTCATGTGCTTGATCAATTTGAACCAAACAGAATTGAATCAACCCGTAGATCTACACCTAGATGATCCTAAGGCCCTAACAATGATATCAGAGCTACTACTCTAGGCGTAGATCCGGTAGAGGAAGTAGCAATTTAGAAGGAGATTAGATAGATCCGGTTCGGATCGAAAGAAAGAAAGGCAGAGGGTTCATCGAACCCTAAACCCTAATCGGGTGAAGAAAAGAGAGTAAGAAAGGGGTCTCGATTTCGAATACTCTAATCCTAATCCTAACCCGTCGGGGAAGATGAACAGTAACCCGAACCCTAACCCCAAATCGGACAAGATTCGAGAAGAATAGAAGAAGATCCAAACAAAGAGAAGAAGGGGAAAGGAAAAGGGCTTGGAAGGTGGCTTACCTCGCCGGCCTCCACTGACCGGAGCACTCCGAGAAAGGGCCACCGCGCCGTGAAGAACGGCCGAGCTAGGGCGCTGTCGCTAGGCCGCTCGACGGCAGCGCGCTCACCCGTTAGGTCGGCGGGCCCCTGTCACACAGCGCTATAAGAGAGAGGTGGTGGCCGGGGCGCTAGAGACGAGGTTTACCGCCGCCACTGACCCACCGAAGAACCCTAGAAGCCCCTCCGATCGCGGGCGCGCTACAAGTGACGGGAAGCGTCGTCGACCGCGTCGCTGGCACCTAGACTACACCGCCATGCGCTACGTAACCGCTGCCGTAGCGATTTCTTCCCCTCTAGCTTCTCTGCCAAGCCCGAAGGTATGGGTCTCTACTATGTCTCCCTCTCCCGAGTCTATCTCTCTCTCCCGAGTCATGTACTTGATCAATTTGAACCAAACAAAATTGAATCAATCTATAGATCTATGCCTGGATGATCATAAGGACCTAATAGTCTCTACGCTAGACGGCCAGATGGAGGTGCAGCCGTGCAGTAAGCAGGCAAGGAGTGGACGCCCGGCCGGCCGGTGGATAAGCATAAGCATGGAATGGTGGTGTTGTGGCCTGTGGGCAGGACGACAGGACTAGCATCCACCCAGCAGGCCATGATTCGGTCCTCCGCTCCGCTTGCTTTGGAACATGTTCGCGGCACCACTGCACAAACGCACTCCACGGTAAATTCGTTTCAGGTTTTGAGTAGTGGAACGTATCATCAGCACAAGTGCAGATGCAGAGGCCTAACAAAGTGAAAGTGTTTGCCAGCAGAGCAGCAAGAGACATCATTTTGGGAAGGAGCTAGCACCTGCATCTATTCTCGTCTCTCCCACGCCCACACCCACCCCACGGCCACGGGCAGCTCCAATAAATCAACCGGTCGGCCAATTTCCCCTTCCTCCACGCAGCTAGCACTGAAAGTGTGCCTGCAGCTTTGCAAATTCGCAATGGATGGACGACGCTTTTCTTCCATTTGTTTAAACAACAACGAAGCTCCATCCAAAGCTACATTTGTCACTTATGCGATTCGATTCTTCTTTTATATCCCCCACCAGAACTGCCATTGTTTAGTGCTTGACTTGTGCCAAAGGCCAAAGCAAAGAGACTTGAGAGCAACAAAAGGTGCCCAGGCTTTGCTGCAACAAACAGACAAACAAAGTAGCTGCAGCCATGCCATGCATTCAGGTTAGTCGTAGCGGCACATGGATGGCAATCAGCAGGTAGCCTTTCTGTCCATCGCCCGCGGATCATCATGCTCAAAGAGGATCATTATTTGTTAGTAGTATACTCCTATTAATTAAAGGGGAACTGTAATGGAGGGCAGGAGGAAGTGGGAGACGAATGTTCTTTCAGGTTAATATTCGTCCTAATGCGGTAGCAGTAGCAGTAGTATTTTCTTTGCGAGATGCAAAATGCTTTGCTGCTTCAGCTATATGTATGTATATTATTTGCTTGCTTGCATGTCATGATTAAACCTAACCTGACTGTGAGTGAGTGAGTCAGATCGATTCGATCCATGGACGAGTGCGCGCATTATTGTAGTAGTAGTAGTAGTAGTAGTAACAAGCTGCCTCTCTTTTGAACGTTCAACTGCTAATATGCAGGTGACTGTGACACGCACGGCACGGGTGTGGATTCTCGTAGTAGTTTATAATTCACATTACTCTCTGCCTGAAATTTGGTAGGCTATATAGCATTGTCCGGCCTGGCTCGCATTCCTCCACTACTAGACAAATCCGATATTGTTCCCTATTTGCTAGTTGGTACCAGGCACGAATGGAGATTGGAATGTATTTTCAACCCGTAAGAGTGAAAGTACTATCATTTATTATTAATGATGCAAATTAAGTACTCTTTAATTAATTATAAAGTATATTTTCGAAGTAAATCAAGTTGGAGACATAACTGTTAATACTATTCATCGTAAACTTGATCAAAATTAAACTAGTTTGAATTATACAAATCCTGTAGTTGTATCCTTTTATGAAGTAGGAAATAGTATACTATGTTAGTTTGATCTCTACCAATTGGCCCAATGGCCAATCGGATCCTTGGCCGCGTCTTGGTCGGGGACGCTTAACCGACCACTGGTTGGCGGGCCCCTGTCACACATCGCTATATAAAGACAAATGTGGGGGCCAGGGCATGGGTGACGAGGTTGACCGCCGCCACTGACCCACCGAAGAACCCTAGAAGCCCCTCCAATCGCGGGCGCGCTATAAGCGACGGGAAGCACCGCCGGGCGCGCCCCCGTCCTCTGGACTCTACCGGGCTGCACTCCGTTCTTCCTCATCTACCTTCTCTGCTAACCTCAAAGGTATGGGCCTCTCTCTCTCCCTCTTCCGATTCATGTTCAAGATCGTTTTAAATCAACTAGTACTGGATTCACCCTCTAATCCACACCTAGATGATCCTAAGAACCTGACAATGGTATCAGAGCCAGGTTGCTAGTTTATAGATCTAGTTTGAGGTAGCAGCAATTAGAAGGAGGTGAGAGATCCGATTCGGATCTAAGCAAAGGGTTCGATGTGAACCCTAATCCTAATCGGGGTGAAGAAAAGAACAGTAGAAGGGGGTCTCGGTTTCGAGAACAACTCGAACACTAACCCTAACCCGCGAAGACAGACGGGGAAGATGAACAGAGGGGCTAACCCTAACCCTAACCCTAACCCTAAATCGGACCAGCTCCGAGAAGAAAAGAAAGAAGTTCAAACAGAGAAGAAGGGAAAGGGGAAGGGCTAGGGAGGCGGCTTACCTCGCCGGCCTCCACTCACCGTTACACTCCGGGAAGGACATCCGCACCTCTGCACCACAGCCGTGCTAGGGCACCGCCGCTAGGCCGCTCGACGGCGACGCGCTCACCCGCAGGGGAGCCCGCGCGCCGGCAAGGGGGCCGACGATGGCGCCACCATCTCTCTGCCATCTCCGGTGGCTCTCAGCGGCAGGCCACTGCAGGGGGAGCCTCAAGCTGCGTGGGGTCAAGGGCAATGGCGCAAGGCCGCTCGACGATG